GTAATTTGGGGAACAGTCCTGACATTCATCTAAAACAGTTAACAAAATGCCAAAACCGATTCATCAGAATATTTAAAAATCTTCATCCTCATTGTCACACAAGTGAATATTATCTCGAAATGAAAATACTCAACATCAAAAACTTGTTCATCTACCACGTTGCAACATTCATTTTTAGATTTCTACGTCAGCAATTGCCGGCATTTTTTAGAAACTTTTTCACTTTTGGAACTTCCATTCAAGCAAGAACTACACGCCACACGCCACTTTTCTATGCCCCACCAGCCAGAATTAAAGTACTCTGCATGAGTTTGAAACACACCGGCCCAGGAATATGGGAGACGATTCCACAAGAAATTAAAGATTGTAACACTTTGCATCTTTTTAAAAATAAACTGAAAAATTTTTTAATTACGAAAAGTTCTGTTTTTCAAGGATAATAATGTATATGTATATATATGTATATAAGTGTGTACATATTTCATTAACATTGATACATTTTCTCCTATTGACAATTTTATTTTATCATTGAGAAGCAATTTTGAACTGCACGGTGGCCGAGCCCACAAGAATTAATTTTCTTTTTTTGGTCTCCGAATCATTCATGCTTTTGTTCTGTTTGATTGAATAAAAGTGATTTGATTTGATTTGAATACAAATATTTATTTCACCATGATAAATAAAAATTTTTTTAACCATTTAAGAGCAAAATTATACGTAAAACATCCGTCAAATAATGATAATAAAGAAATGATTAACAAACAATCAAGTAAATAAATACAACAGGAATTAAATTTCTTGAAAAAAAATGAACGAACATTGAACAACACTCACACCAACATGCAAACAATCTACATGCGCTCACCCACTAACAATATATATAAGTAACAATTAAATTATCTGACTACAACATTAATATCATGTTAATTAAACAATTAATGGCTCCATCAGTTTCCCTCCATCCATGATACGGTCAAACGACATCCGTGAGAGGTCGATAGTGACATAGTCATCTCTCAACATGTACTCCATGATTGCGTGACCTGTGGAAATGTGGTCATGTGCCTAAGACGATAAGATCAGAAAAACAAAACGAAACCAGAGCAACCTAATGAAGCACAAGAAACGGAAATAAAAAACCATCAGCACACCAACCGATGGCGGGTGAATGTTGGATGCCGTGCCCCGTGCACCCCGTTGCCATGAAGAAGTTTCGATGGTAGGGATGGTTGCCTATGATGAGGTTGCCATCAAAGTAATTGTAATCGTAATGTCCGCACCACGATCCTGTCAACTGCATGTGTTCGGTTGTGTTGCAGTGTATGTTGTGTTGATTTGATAGATAAATGAACTAGACGTACGATTGGATTGGTTGGATAAATTAAATGAGTGAAAAAAGTTGAAGTATGAACAATGATCCATGACTGATAGATACATAGATGTTTAGAAGGGCAAAGTTTTGAAAAATGCAAAGGCTCACAAACTAATAAAACTTCTTTAATACAGAAAACTTAGCAAGCCAACCTTCAAACATTCAAAAGCAGGCACCCTTCGAGCAAGAGCTGGCCAGATGTGGTTTTTGAAGAATTCCTCATCAGCAACCGTCTGGTTGGGGTCTGGTTCCGGCTCGCCCTGTTGGTTGAGGGTAAAATGATAAAAACTTAAATCAATATTCAATACATTTACTAACCATCAAATCAATTAACTATCCAATAAACAAAATGAAACATATGAAGAAAAGTTTTTCTAAATGAAATTAACATCGCAATCCGTGTAACAAACAAACGAACATAAAATAACCATTCACAACCAACTAATCAACAAAATAGCCAACCTGGGGAGGGGATGCTCCACAAACATACATGCCCCCTAGTCCCTCTCGCCTCACGTACACACCGGATGGATCGATTAGCATGGGTGTTTGGAGGCCTGGTCCATCAGGGCAGTGAAAAACGTACACATACCGAAGTCTTTGAAGGTGATGGTAATCATGAAAAGGTTCACAGCGGTTACTTACTAAAATAACGTCATCCAAACAAACAAAAAATCATTGCTTTACAATAGAAACACACCAAAATACAACGCAGCACAACACTCAGCACTACATACAACACAAAACGAGATGACAAAACAACGATAGCAATATGGCACCTGGGTTCAACTGGCAATGCAAACGACAGAGGGCCCTCTTTCTCAACACCGATGCCGGCCATTTTTGCAATCTCACTTGACCAAGCTCCAGCGCAGTTCAGAACCATCGCAAACTTCAAATCGTGAACTTTACCATTTGGTGTCTTTACCTTTGTTAGGAAATGATTATGACAAGTGAACTAAAAAAAACGTAAGCAAGAAAACTAAAACAAATGAAAACAGACAATACTAATAAAATGAATAAAATCCAGACAGACGACAAACAAACAAGCAGACAAAAAAAGACAGACAAAGATTGACTGATAGATAGAGAATGCAACCTTAACACTTCTGAGCAGTGGTCTTTGCTCATAGGATTGTGTGACAGGAGAATTGATTTTGGTAGCTTCAGTTTCAAAACCGACTACCTCTCCAGTAACCAGGTTGACACCGAGGGATGCTGCCTTGACCTTGAGGGATGCCAGGAGGAGCCAGGGATCGAACCAACCCTCGTTCTGTATCCCTAAGATGACGACGACGATGATGATGGCGATGGTGACTAGACAAGATGATGACGTGATGGTATGGTCTGACGCTATATAGATGATAAAATGATGAAAAAGTTAAAAGTCTGTTAATGAAGATAATGAATGAACTTGTAGTAAAAATATTTGACTCTATAATTTATAATTCCTAATGATAACAACCACATAAAATATGGAAAACTTGGCAATGAGTGTAACATTTATCACAATCATCATCAACAACATCTTCACCATCATCACCATCGATGAGTAATCACCATAGCAACCAGCTTCAACATCATCAACATTCATCCAAGGAAATTTCAGTTTCAGCTGGTCTCTACTCATGTAATCAACTTTGGCGCCTAGGGATCTGGAAGTGACGATGGCGGAAATGATGACGATGATGACGAAGAAGATGAGGATGAAAACGATGATGAAAAGATGATGGAAATGATGATGAAAATATTGATAATACTGAAAAAAAATTAAAATATGGCAAAACTTCAGAAAATAACAATGACAGCACTGAAAATGAGATGACGATGAAACCGATGAAGATTGTGATAAAATAATTGAGTAAAAAGATGACAATAAAGTGATGATGACAAACGTTGCAAACCAATCACCAATCGACAGCTTAACATCAACAACACAACTTGAACGACATACATCTGAGTCTCGTAGTTTTCTTTCAACTGTTGTTCGCCCTCTTTAGTGGCAAGAAACAAGTAGCCCTGGTGGTTAAAACAAACATCTGGAGGATCCAAACCTAGGGATCAACAAGTTTTTTTATCTACATTTTACAAAATTATTATAGAGAGAGAGATTGAAAAAGATTTTGAAAATCTAAAAAAAAGATGGAAGCCGCCGAATTCAATGAGGTCAGGTAACATCATTGTGACTGATCAGTTTAATTCCTATAGAAGTATAAAAAACATGATATCTGAAAACAGCATAAGCTTTGAAAGATCTATGGTTAAATCTGACACACTAGCACATATGTTTATAGTATGTAAGTGTACCATTTTGATATTATAATGTTACATATATGCAGTTATGCAAATGAAAGCTATCAAGAAAAAAAATCAAAGGCAGAATATATGTTATTGATAGAAATAATTGAGACCAAAGGTTGTTAACCATCCCAAAGGTTCTCAATCATCCCATTACAATAACCTTTGATGCGTGTTTACATTTGCATGCTTATATCATCAAAATTTTTACATCAATACATTATTATGTGATATAAGGTTGTGATGTGTTGAAATCAATGACATTATAATTTATAACAGTTTAATTTCAATTTTGTTATAATTAGATTGGAAATTTTTTATTTGAATAATCTAGAAAATACAAATTAAAGTATGATATATTACACTATAAAAACTACCTTGCATAAATTATCATCAGTGAAATTCAATAGCTAACAGATTGAATGAAACAAGACACAAAGTCACTCCATTGGAATAAAGCATAGATGCAACCACAAAAACAACAACAAAACAATACAAACAGCCAAGTTTATAACACAAACTTTATAACACAAACACAAATTTGAAAAACTTCTACATAATAGCAAAAAGGCAGCAAAAAGACTAACAACCAACTTAAAACAGACAGATGTTCTTTAATTCTCCTAAAAAACTCAGCAGAGAAGAGAGACATCTGGATGTTTTCTTTTAATCCAAATTGCTGCCTGATACCTCCCACTGATAACGTGGTAGATGCTTTTGAGTACTGCAGAATGCAATAATACATTATCGATTTGTTTAAATTTCAAAACAATGGGGATTGATAAATTCTGATAAAAACAACAAAAACCATTTGTTGTTCTGTTATAAAAATATAAATTAAATGTTTTCATGGTTCTACTTTGTTATAATTATCATGATTTATGACTTATGTATGTGAAAAATATGAAATATGAATGATGTTTCAGAATAAAGTGACATTCTCAGTTATATTTTCATTTTATTAAACAAAAATTAGATAAACTTAGCTAGAATTTTTAAAAAAACTTTTAATACCAACATTATATTGAAATTATATAAAAAAAAAATTTATTTTATTTTATATTTTTATGTTATCACAATTTCATCTTTAAGAAGCAATTTTCATAAAGTCCACTAACTGTGGGATCTTTTTCAATGAGAGTGACAGAGTAGCCTGCAGGGTTGTTTTGCTTCATCCAAAAGGCGGACGACATTCCTATGGCTCCTCCTCCAATAATGACAATGTCTGATTCGTGAGGTACCTCCAGAGCTGAATTTATAAGTCGGGTATTTTTTAATTTCTCAAAAATTGACTTTAAATTATCATCTGTGGTGCCACCGCTGCCAGACGTTAACTGCCTTTTATGAAGATGTGACTTGATGAATGTTATTTTGTTACCAAGACCTGGAAGATTGGAGGATTTGAATCTGCCAGCATTAGCAGCACTACAGAACAATCGTAAAGTCATTTTAGTTCTAAAAAAATATTATTAACAAACAATTATCTATTGAATTTCACAAAAATTGAATACATTTGCTAATCAATATTATTATTTAAAATACATTAAATTAAGACGAATTTAAACTGCGTGCAAAACACGATTTCACCCGATCACTTTTAAACGTAATTTTTTCTTCGACACACTTGTACAACTAAAGACCCAGATAGATATAAACTAGCAAACACTCGGACTGAAAGGAATTACCATTACGTCAATACGACATATCTAGCGAACGCTGTTATGGTTTCCACCATCAAATTATACTTTTTTAAGCTCAGAAAATTTTGTTCTATTTAAATCTTTTAAAAAACAACCAGCCAAATTTACTCTATCAACGCCACACTGAAAAACAAACGGACTATAGTGCGTGTTCAGTTATGCACAATGGTAACTAACAGGTCTCTTCAAGTTACTGTGCATATTAAAAATGTCGGAATTTTCATTACAAAAATATACGCTTTTATGCTTAAATGATTGAGCAGTACATGAATCTAGTAAAAAAACTACTAGCTTAATTCACTATATCAGGGCTACATTAAAAAAATATCGATCTATAGCTCGATTTCAGTATTACATAATGCTAACTATTTGGTCGATTCAAGTTTCTATATATCGAAAATGCTAAATGATACATTATCAAATTACACATTTCCATTTTCAGGAGTTTGAGTGCTACATGAATCTTATATATATATATATATATATATATATATATATATATATATATATATATATATATATATATATATATATATATATATATATATATATATATATATATATATATATATATATATATATATATATATATATATATATATATATATATATATATATATATATATATATATATATATATATATATATATATATATATATATATATATATATATATATATATATATATATATATATATATATATATATATATATATATATATATATATATATTTATTTATTTATTTATTTATATCCATGGCTCTACACGAATCTAATATAAAACTACCAGCTTAATTCACCATATCAGCACAACATTCTAAAAAAATCTGATTTTAGTGCTTTTTCAGTATAATACGTCATAATAACTTTTTGGTATGATTCAAGATATTATATATCAAAAACATCTGTATTTTGGCCTATTAAATAGTTGTGTAATAATAACAAACTTTAAACCTTTTATTCAGTAAACCAATTTTTAATAGTTAATGTTTGGGATGTTATATACTAGTTTACCTTCATGAAGTTATATAATGTAACATAATCATCATTCGACACATCATTCTTTCAACAAGATCCAAAACGACGAGTTTCAATCACACTTTAAATTAAACACAAACAATGTTCGTCTAACGATGATGTAATAATATCATTGGAGGTGTAGGTATTGTAGGTCACATTTTACATTTATAAGTGTAAATAAGTAAATATAACATTGTCTTTAAAAGGTAGTATAAAACTAAAATAAGTATAATTAGTATTAAAACATTTCTTTGAATTTTATAAAAAGTTTTCAATAAGAATTTTTGTTTTAACATCCTGGTATTTATCGTGGTCCATTTGTCAGGTCCAGTTTAAGATGAACCGCATCACCATTTTAACATTTTTTAATTGAATATTAAGGTATTAACAGCTATTATTAAGTATTAGTTATATTAATTGAAATAATTAATTAAAACATTAATATTAATTTGGAACAAAACACAAAACGATGTTAAGTAATTGGAAAAATATCGTAACAATGAGACGACAGATTTACAACATTTCAAAATAAATTACATCCATTATATATATATATATATATATATATATATACATATATATATATATATATATATAATATATATATATAATATAATATATATATAATAACATATAAAAGTTATTCATGATGTCTTGATGATACTTTTTCATATTTTATTTATCTTATGTTGTAAGGCTGAATCATGTCTAACTCAGCTCTCTATATTGAATGCCGTGTGATTATTTTCTTTTGTGAAAGTTACCTGCAATGATGGAGTTTGCTGCTGCGGCTCTTGACGTTGCTGCACCTGCTGCTGCTGTTGAGGTTGTGGTTGCTGCTGATTGTTTTTTGCTAGCGGTGTGTCACATGATAATTGTTGTTGTTGTTGTTGTTGTTGTTGTTGTTGTTGGGAATTGTCATTTTGTTGTTGCTTTTTTTGTTCATTATCGTCCTGAATATTGTCACTTGGTGATTTTAATTCTTCTTGAGGCAACTGTCTGTGATATATTTGCAAGACATTTTTATTCTGACCGTATTGTCGATCGTTGTTGTTGTTGTTGTTTAGGCTCGATATTACATTGGCAGTGGATGGACCTGCGTTGTTTGCGTTCGTTGTGATTGTAAATAATTGTGGTTGTGGATGTTGTTGAAGTTGTTGTTGTTGTTGGTAGTGATAGGGATGTTGTTCCGACAACTTCGAACAATTTGGACCAGAGCTCATTTTCTTCTGATGTTGTTGATATTGTTGTTGCTGCTGCTGTTGCAGATATAGCTGCTGTTGCTGATATTGTTGCTGTGAAGCTAAATTTAAGAGTTGAATACTCAGCTCTGCTGCAGTTTGCTGTGGAAGATGAGGACGTGATGAAGAAAATGATGATGGTGATGACGATGACGATGATTGCTTGCTTTGTGGTGAAGTCTTTTGTTCAAGATTCAACGATCGATTGCTGTTTTTGGCTTGTTGTTCTAACTGGTGTTGCATCATTTCTTGCTGTTGTTCTTCTTGGTCCTGCTGGGCTTGCAACTTCTTTACCCTCTCCTATAAAATTATTCAACATTGTTCTACACTCCAACTTTATAAATTTTATAATTTTTTTCGATAATTATTTACTATTCTATTAGATAACCGTTCAAAAATTTCCTGCTAAACCAAAAACTACGACACACACAAAGCATATCTGAATAAACGAAACTGAACGCCTCATACAAATTTTGTGCAAAGGATTTCTTTACATTCGAGTCTCTTGTTACTAGAACACTCTTAACTTTAACGTAATCTTCCCATTGCCGAATATATATATACATATTTCATAAGTATAATAAAGGTAAGAAATTGTCAACATTCACTTTGTGATCTCTATCCTTTTGGTCGTATTTCCATCGTTTCTTCAGTGCCTGTAGATAAGTGTGTACGTAGGTATGTATGTTTGTGTATTTGTATGTTTGTGTTTGTCTGTGTATTTATATGTTTGTGTATTTGTATGTCTGTTTTTGATTGTGTATTTATATGTTTGTGTATTTGTATGTTTGTGCTTGTGTATTTATATGTTTGTGTATCTGTATGTTTGTGTTTGTTTGTTTGTTTGAGTGCTATATATATGGATGTTTTTATGTTTTTACGATTCTGTGTATTTTTTACTTTTTATCTGTTTGTTCGTGTTTGTCGTTGGTTAAAACGCTGATAACATGGACAGTAGTTAGTTAGCTACATGATGTTACAAGTGATAATAATTACGATTAAATATAATGGAGAAGAATATTTAGACTGAAATGATAAAGACGATGATAATAGCTGCACTGGTTATAACATTGACGACGACGATGATGATGGTATAATGATGATGAAGCCAGGATGGCGACGACGATGATGACGACGACTGTGATGTCCTTTAATACCTCTCCTGAAACTCTGATGAAACAAAGTCCCATACCATTTCCATTGCCCAACGATGCGTTTTTTTTATTAAAAATTTAATGAGATAATACCAAAAACACATCTTGAAAGCAGATCATTATACATAAAAATATTTGACTATAAACATTCAACAAATATAGAAACATTAAGAATTTTTCAGCATAGCAATATCATGACATCAAAAAATTAATAACAACAACAACAACAACAAAACATCAAAGCTCTATAACAACAACGACATCAACAACGCCACAACGTGTTCGAACATACAAAATGCTTCCACAGTCCTTCTTTCATTTCATATTTATAATCTATGTCTACCTTACATACGTCTTTTGGTAATAATAGATCTAGAATTTTTTTACAATTCTGTTTTATGTATTTCTTGAAGGTGACAACAGCCCATGTGTAATAGGAGGAATCTCCATGTATTAGAGCATAGAGCAATGCCGGGATACTTAATCTTTTTGCAGTTCATTAACAATACGTTTGTATCAAATGTTTGTATGTTGTTGTTTGTTAGTTGGTTTTGTTGTATGTTTGTTTGTTGTTGCGTATGTTAATAGATTTTATTGTATTGTTTGTTTGTTTGTCTGTTTGTTTGTTTGCTGGGTATAACTAAATCACGTTCCATATTTGTAGTTACTGTCTTATGTTGCTAGGTAAGGAACAGCTGTTGATGTAACAGGAAATTTACGTGACGTCACTTCAAATCAAAACAACATACTTTTTAGTTGATCTCCCATTATTTACGTTAAAAAGGATGTGTCGGAATGTTTTTCAATTATCTCAGTTTGCACGTATGTCATACTTCTCTATTTTTTGATTGCATGTATTGATCTGTCTGTATATGAATGTGTGTGTATGTTTGTGTGTGTGTATGTGTGTGTGTTTTTGTAGACAAATTCATTTGAATATGCATGCGCTTTGTATGCGTACGTGTATATACTTTTCTAATGTATATAAATATTCATATTTATTCATTTTTTACGCAAATTTTGCAATCCTGTTTGTGTCTATGCCTAAATGAACCTACTTTATTAAATGCATACGTGCACGTAGCTAGATGTTACACCGTGTTTGAATAAATTTATGCTGGCTCAGCGCTCGTAAGTATCTTAGTAAAGGGCGAACCAACATGTATTAAATTTCATTTTTCCAGGGTTAAGACGTCGGTTGACACCACAGTTAAAATGCCGACGGCATTCAGCCAAACATTTTTTTAGAAGTTACGAAATTATATATGAATTTCACGGTAAATTGTAAAAATTCTTTGCGGAAAAAGTTAACTAATTGCGGGACGGAACACGTGATTCGGGGCGTGAGAAGGTAATAACAAACAATTGTTTTCATTATTTTCGCGTTTGTCACCATCCTCATCGTCGTCGTCTTCATCATCAGTTGCAAATCATCATCACCATCAACAGCAGCAACTGTAGCAGCAGCTGTAGCAACAGCACTAGTAGTAGCAGCAGTAGCAGCATCCACATCAAAATCATTACCACCATTACTGACCACGATGTAGATGTACATGAAGAAGAAGACGTGGAAGAAGAAGTACGATGAAGCGCTCACTCCAAGGCCCCATTTGTCAACCACCTTTTGAAGTGGATGAATGGAATGAATGAATGAATGAATGAATGAATGAATGAAGGAGTGAATGAATGAATAAATGAATGAATGAAGGAATGAATGAATGAATAAATGAATGAATGAATGAATGAATGAATGAATGAATGAATGAATGAATGAATGAATGAATGAATGAATGAATGAATGAATGAATGAATGAATGAATGAATGAATGAATGAATGAATGAATGAATGAATGAATGAATGAATGAATGAATGAATGAATGAATGAATGAATGAATGAATGAATGAATGAATGAATGAATGAATGAATGAATGAATGAATGAATGAATGAATGAATGAATGAATGAATGAATGAATGAATGAATGAATGAATGAATGAATGAATGAGTGAATGAGTGAATGAATAAATGAATGAACGTACAAGCAAAAGAATAAACACTCGAAAAAGGAATGAAATTTTAAATGATTGAAAGAACTAATAAAAACAAAAATGATAACATAAGAACGAATGAATTAAAGAATAAACAAACAAACGAGTGAATTAACGAACGATATTATTCATAATCATGAGATGTTATTACAATTATTATTATTATTCTATAATTAATAATAATTAATAATATAATTTATAATTAATATCGCCATTATGATCATCTTCATCACCTTAGCTAGGTCTATGTCGTTTTTGAAGAGGGGTATGATGGCGTGCCACACGCACACACTGCACAAAATCGCCATCGAAGTTAAGATGTACTTGTCCTAAATTATGTGAGTAAAATCGTCGTCGTCATTAAGCCAGCTATTTAGCTAGCTATTTAGCTAGCTATTAGTTCAGTCATTCAACCATCCATCATTGCCGGTTAATTAGCTATCACTTCAGTTATTCAAACAGCCATCATCATCATCGTCGTCATGTAGCCAGCTATTTAGCCTGTTATTAGTTCAGTCATTCAATCATCTATTCATCTAGCCAGCCAACCAGCTAACGAACCAAATAAGTGAGATACGATATCCTTGGCAGGGTTTGACTGACGACGAACTTGAACGTGATGGTAGTTAGGAGGAGGATGAAGGAAAGCTGAAGCCGATTCTCTGGCTTCGTCAGCTCCACTGAAAACGTCGCGAATGTCAGACTGCATATAAAGAGCTGGCAATCGAAAATGTTTTCATCATAATCGTAATAAAAAAAATTAACAATAATTTTATTTCTATCATTCTCTTAAGAGCCTTATAAGCATTCATCGTCGTTATCTCGTTATTATCAGCTACACACATGGAAGAAGCACAATATTATTTTATTTTTATCAACAGCAATAATAAGAAGAAATAGAAATTTGATTACATAAATGATATGGGGAGTGATGGCGCCGCTGATATGTTATTTTTCTTAATGTTGTTTCAGAAAATATCAAAATGCTTAAGTGTTAATATAGAATAATACAAATAATAACAATAATATCAATGACAATCATACGGTGATGAAGAGGAAGGGATGCTGACAATACCCAAAATAGTAATAATAATAAATAATAATTATAAATAATAATACAACAAATAAGAATAACCGAAATCCATATCTATAATAATAAACGGCAAAAGCGAAAGTTACACACCATGACGAGAAAAATGTTCCATATGTAGAAGCCAGCCCTCCTGGAAGCCCTGCAAGACGTTGAAAAGGATGGATGTTTCATTTTGGAATTTTGAAAAATCTTCGTCGTTATACACTTCCAGGTTTCAACGTGGCTGTGCAGTGCCCATTCCTGTTCGTCTACGAACGACTGAACGTTGATACTTGATATTTCCAGGTTGTCCTCCTCTAACTCTAGCTCTATGTCCGCTCTTTCGCTTGTTATCGTCAGAGTTAGGTCCTGTATGCGCGTGTATGTTTGTGTGTGTTTGCGTGTGTGTGTGTGTGAGTCGTCAAAATTAGGTCCAATATGCGTAGCGTACTTGTGTGCATGCGTGTCTCGTCGTCAGAGTTAAGTCTTATGTGTGTGTGTGTGTGTGTATGTGTGTGTGTTAACCAGTATATGTGAGTTTTTATCTTTTTGTATCTCAATGTATCTCAATTTATTAATCTTTTTATGTTGGATATATTTTTATCATGTTAGTTCCTTTCAAAGTTGCGTTTCCGTGCCTGTATTGTATTTTTGTTTGCGTGCTTCTCACTATCACCCCAAAATGTTAGAATGATAATCAAAAGTAATGAAATCATTCAGCAATGACAGGCGTGATGGATATGCTAGGCATCATCATATCACATCATCCCCGTCTTATGAATTTTGCACACCGAGTTTAAGCAAATATTTACCTATTTTCTTTGTAATGCATATGCCTGATTTATACATAAGAGGTATTGTTGATTATGGATATGTTATACCTAGAGGTATTGTTGCTGTTGGGAATGTTATTTTTTTATTTCATCGATTGTTGAAGAAACATCCTTCGCCGATTAAAAACAAATATTTAGAAGAAAAATACACATACTCAAACAGACACACACAAGCACACATTTTAAAGCATGCTTAAATTGAGTATGTGTGTGTGTGTTTGTGTGCGTGTTTGTGTGTGTGTGTTTGTGTGCGTGTGTGTGTGCGTGTGTGTGTGTGTGAAAAACTCATAGTAGTTAACCCGTTGCTTTTACGTCGCATCTATTAGATTAATCGATTAGAAGATTTCTTTGAAAATAGCGGCTCCGTTTGATCTGATCATACACGGGCATGCATACACAAAAATACA